AATCAGTAATTCTTGTCGACAAAGTAATAAAAGGGCGAATATTATAAAGAGAAAATAAGTTTAAAAAATCAGATTTTGCAATGTCATTATTTGATTGCATCAGATCAATATTATAATCACCAAGTAAGAAAACAGATTTATTTTCAGCAGATATTTTTTGAAGTAAGACAGACATGATATTATTAAAAATAATAATATCCATGCGAGGGTGTCTATAAATGCAACCAACAATAGTATTAGACTTTTTAGAAAAAATAGTTTCAACAAATGTGGATTCTAAACAATTAGGTGTCTAAATCATTAAATCATCTCTTCGTTTGTTTATTAGTTTTTTTGATAAATATAATAATGTATCGCCACAAGAGGATTCCGTTAGTGTCTGCTCAATGTTGTAATTATCAATGAGAATCTGATGAATTGAAGATGTTTCTTTTTTTTTAACCTTGTTTCAGTTATACCAATAATGGAAAAATCAAAATTAATGAATGATAATATTGTGTTTAAATCCTCAAAGTGTTTAAATCCTCAAAGTGTAACGATGATATGCTTAGATGAAAAAAAGGAGAGAGCGCTTGTTTTATTAAAATTAAGTGTACATAATTGGCTTATGTCATAATATTTACAAAACATGTCTAATGAAGAAGAAATTTTTTTCTCAGAATCCAAAACACGAGATGAAACATAATTATTAATTTGATTAGAGACTTTATTTAAATGAAAAGACCGGAAAAGGTTTGTAGACAGAAGGAAATCATCAGTTTTAAGAATTATATCAGAATAAAATAGCAATTTAAATTCATTATCTTGTACATCTGTGAATGGAAAGACACTTTTAATACAGTTTAAACAACTCCGCAACGAGCGACTTAATTGTAGTAAACTGTACTTAGTATCATAAAGCCTGTTTTTTTTTGGTATCGTTAAGTCATATTTTGTATGAGACCAAAATAAACAAATATTACATTGAGATGAGCGGCAACTTTGACTAATTAATTTTTTACACAAATGACAGTTTAAAGCCATAGTGGAACCGCAATATTAGAGAGAATGTAAGAACAATAAGTAGGGAGTAAATAGCTATGTTATTAATAATTGTTAAAATAAAATAATGCGTATGAATAGATAATTAAGAACAACCAATTAAAGCATCGAAAAACTAACAATTATAATAAATAATATTAATGTAGTAAAACAGTAATGCAACAGCCAAACAAACAGTAAACTATAACAAAAACCAAAATTTTAAAGAAAATTATAAAATCAGACTAAAAGAGTAAAAAAACTTATTAAAGTTAAGAGAAATAAATTAAAAAATATAATAGCAATAATAAAAATAAATATTAAATATTATATATCATAATAAGTAATATAATAATAAATTGTAGTAATATAAATAAAAATAATAGTGTTATATTTAAAATAAGATAAAAAATAATAGATATAAATAAAAACTATAAAAACTATCTACTCTTTTAAGAAACTGATCTCCTCTTCTGTTTTTTTTTTTTTTTTTTCTTTATTATTAAAAAAAAGAATAGAATGCCGTGTTGTATAAATAAAAGCTACATGACCAGGGCTAAAAGAAGACAATATTTGCCTTATCACTACACTTTCATCAGTAAACGTGTGTAACCATTAAAATGTAAACATAAAACATAAAATTACTTTGTACCATTTAAAAATTATATACAAATATATACAAATATGTTAAGATCAGTTACTAATCTATAATCAAAAGGAAATCGTAAAAAAATAAAAAAAAAAAAAAAAAAAAAGCAACCACACCTAAAAACTGAAGATAAGTTAATAGGATAATTTAAAGAAAATTTAAATTGGTTAGACTAGTTAAAAAAATAGTTGTTAAAAAAGAAGATAAAAGAATCTTAAAAAGAATTTAATTCCTTAACATCGTTAAGAAGTTTTTGTTTGAGTTTTTGTTTAACTAGAGAAATTGAAGAACAATTTTTCAGCTGGTTCTTTAATAAGGGTGTTCCATAATTTAGGACCTCTGATGGCAACAGAAAATTTAGTAGCCAAATAGTGTATTTTAGGTTGCTCGTAATTGTAATTTGAAAATCTTGTAGGGTACACGTGATTAATTTTATTGAAAAACGTATTAAAAATTATAGGAGTTAATTTATTATATAGTTTGTACATAAGTATATAAATTTGATAAAGGTTTAACTGAAGAACATTGAGTATGTGATGATTTTTGAATAGTTCTTTAGAATGTGCGAATCGACCTGCATTTGAATTTGTCTACTAAGCAATTTTTTAACTTTACTTACATTAGAGCTGCACCATGCAATATTTTCATAGTTTATATAACAATGTATGAGGGAGAAATATAAGAATTTTAAGCAGTTGTGGTTTAAGATTTGCTTAGCTTTGTATAGTATGCCAATGTTTTTCGAAATTTTATTTTCAATTGTTCTTATGTGTTCTCTCCATGTCATGTTTTTTTTTTTTTTTTTTTTTTTTTTTTACATTTATTTTGCTGTTTAACAAATATAATCAACACATATATATACAAGAAAGAATGAAATATGTCCGTATAACAAAGAAGACAGTAAAATCTTGTCAACAAGCACCGTTTTTGTATATACAGTATATAAAATAAACTATACTTTTTTACAATGATCTTTATAAAATAAAGAGTTAAACAGACAGGGGCTCAAAGAAGATGAAGATGACAAAACGTCATCGCAATCTTTTCATAGAGCCCCCTATATACATTTTCATTAGGTTATGGATATTAAATTAATTTAAAAACCCTAATGGGCATAAAACTGCTGCGCTGATCAATAAAAACAAATAAATAAGATTATAAAGAAAATTACTTTGTAATCCTTTTAAGCACAAATAATAATCAAATTTTTAAAATTTCTTTTTTTATCAGAAACTTAAATGAACTTAATGACTTTGCCATACATTTGGATCCTTTTTGATATCTATTCCATATATTTGGCCCCCGATATGCAATGCTATATTCAGTATATTTATTAAGGTTTTGAGGCAGTTTATATGTGTTACTTATCTTTGCTCTTAGATAGTAGTTTTCATTTATGTTTATTTCAAACTTGTTAGTAAAGTTTGTAGGAGAGAGATTAATATTAAATTGATACATAAAAATTAAATGCTGATAGATATTTATTTCAAAAACATCCATCATTTTCATATCTTTCATTATAGGTTTTGCATGCTCCCGCTTATTTTTAAAGTAAATGATTCTGCATGCGTGTTTTTGTAGACTATAGATTTTTTTAAGTTTTGATGGCTGAATACTTGCCCATGATATGTTTGCATAGCTGATAAAGCAATGAATTAGTCCAAAGTAAATAAGTTTTAGACTTTGTTTATTGATATATGATCGTCAATTATCACTCCTAAAAACTTTTATGATGACTCTCTAATTATTTTAGAGCTGCCAATGTAAAGATCAGGAAGTTTTAATGGAATATTTTCTTTATCGTGAAGTCTATGAAAAAAAAATACTTAGTTTTATTTAAATTTAAGGACAATTTGTTCGCCTTAAACCATTCCGCTAGATTTTAAAATTCTTTGTTTACTATTTTAAATAAGAGGTTGATATCTCCATTAGAACAAAATAAATTCGTATCATCTGCAAATAAAACTGAGTTTAAAATGTTTGAAGACTTATGGAAATCGTTTACATAAATAAGAAATAAAAGTGGACCCAGAATTAAGCCTTTGGGAACACTGCAAGTAACAGTCAATTATTCAGTTTTGAAATTGGTCTGTAATTTTCAGAATTAAATATGTCTCCTGACTTGAAAATAGGTATGACCCTCGCAATTTTTAGTTTCTCCGGATAAATGCCTAGTTTTAAAGAGAGATTAAAAATATGTAAAAGAGCGATTGTTAAGTACTTTATTGATTTTTTAATTAAATTACAACTAATATTATCAAACTCCACGCTTGCGTTTAGTTTTAAAAAATATACTGAATCTAAGAGTTCCTTTTCAGTAATTTCATAATTATCGATCTTAGAGGTCTAATTAGGAGTAAGATATGACTCAAAGTTTACTTCAGTAGTTTCTATTTTCGACGCTAAAGTGGAACCTACACTGACAAAATATAGGGATACAATATAATACAGGGAAATGATCTGAAATATCGCATTTAAATATTCCTGTTTTTATTTTTGATTTGAACTCATTGGTGACTATTTGATCTACGATTTTTGCGCTTTCTCTAGTTATTTTTGTGGGTTTATTAATTAGTGGAATAAAGTCTTTCTGATATATGACGTTAAAGAAATTATTTATATTTGTATTTAAATGACTCATGTTCAGACTCATGTTCAAGGTTTAATCACCTATAAAATAAATGCTTTTATTTTCGTCTAATTTGTTTTTAATTATGTTTTTAATGTGATTATTAATTTATCAACTTATCTTTTTTTTAAATGCTGTTTTTGAGTGTTTGTTTGTTAAAAGTTTCTTTTTTTATATGTTTTTTTGTTTTACTCTTCTTTTATTTTGATATTTTTGAATTCTTTATTTGAAACAATTGGTAATTAACTCAGTTTTTAATTGCCTTTCTTTATTTCTTTTTACCTTTTCAACGGTGCACTATGCGTTGCTCTTATACAAAATGAGGAAATAGGCATATAAATAAAGAAGGACTTAAAATATTTAACTTATTTTTTTACAAGACATCAAATTTTTGTTTATATTTCTATATTTAAAAGAATCATATTCGGTTTTCATTAAAAAACAATTTATTGTATTTTTTTTCGGTTAGTCCGGACTAATTCTAGATTTGTCCGGAAAACTACACAAGTCCGGATGATTTTATTCAAAAAAAAGTAGGCGCCTATATTTTTATAGAATTTTATAAACTATGTATATGAACACTATTTCAAAATAAACAGTATCATTAAATATAATAAACAACTCTGCTATCATATGACACTTGGCTCTTTGCATTCTTTTACAGTTTCTCAACATTCTTTTCTAATAGATGTTTTTAATAACTTGTGGCTATGAAAATAGCCGTTTTTTAAAAATTCAACGCAGAACAGCTCATCAGTATGATTCTTCATGGTCTTACTTCCTAAAATAGTTAATTACTTGTTAAAATTGATTAAATTTTTTCTTAAATTTTTTTTTAAAAACATAACAAAAAAAACAAAAAAAAAAACGCAACTTTGAATTGTTAATTAACCAAAATTATGAGATTGCCTAACCAAAAAAAAAATCAATCAAAACTATTAACAATATTAATAATAAAACTATTTTACCTTTATTTTAAGCAGTTATCAGAAGAACTGTCATTTTGCTTTCTTAAACTATTTTGTTTTCACTCTTTTTTTATCCATTTTATTTTTTTTGCAAAAGAGGTACATATCAGATGTCATAAACAAATAATTAGCTGTATCCCCAGTGTTTTCTGCAAAAGAGGTTAAACGAGCATGACCAATTCGAGCAGTTTTGTTTTCCTTATTTCTGGCTTCAATAGCACTCTCAGGCAAAGAACCTATCGGATACTTAAAATACCTTATAAAAGAAGTACCATGAACTATCACTCTATGCACAGACTGTGACATAGGTATGGTTTTTAAAAATTTATCATTAGTTATGAGTGCAAATATATGTTCAGATTTCTGTTTGAAAACCTTTATATCCGGTCTTGTAGTTGTTCTGTTTATATCAATGAGTAAATCTCGAAACAACTTAATCATTCTGATATCCAAGTTTAAAATTCTCCCTGTCACAATGGGGTTATTAAAAAATTTGCGAGCAACAATTCCAGTATTGGTTGTTCCACATCCTTTCCTGACAAAAGAAACCCTTATATTCATTTTTATCTTGAATAAATGCTGGAATTTTTTTTTGTTTTCAATAAATTCTTTACTCTTTTGTGATGGAATATTTCTTCCTTGCTTAACAGCTGGGAGTTTACAAGCAGTATTGAAAATCCACTCCATACAGCGCATCCATAGATGAAGACTGCAAATTCCAAGTTTCAAAACATGCTTGTTTAAGTTAATATTTTTTTCCAAATAGTTTTCAAGTTAAACTCCTTAGAATTTGCAAGGCATACATGGCAGGACTGAGATGAAATTCTTTTTTTAAGCATATTTGATACAACAGCGTTTAGTGTTTTGCCATCATTCATTGTGGTATAAATAGTTGACAAACTAGACTTTACTACAAAAGTACTTTCACCAAGTTTAAATTCAATATTCTTCAATAAAAAAATTTCATTTTTCAAATGTTTAAATTTTTCCTGAATAAAACTAGCAGTCTCTTTTGCAAAACAAAAAAGAAGATGACGGGTTGCATCTGGACTATTTGGAATTAAATTTTTCCATATTATTTTTTCTCCACTTCGGATCTCCAGCAGTACAAACACTATACTATACACAGAGCGATCATCTACACCTCTTTTTATAGTTGCTGAATTTTGAAACTCCGATTGATCACTTTGACCATCACCTCCTACTTTGCAAATAATTTGTACATTATCACGCTCTTCTTGTGATAAACTCATTATGCAGTTACTTTCATAATCCAAAAGATATTCAAACACTCTAGAAACTGAATGCTTTATCATATGGAAAAGACTACATTTTACTTCGGTTTCAGAATATTCAACCTGTTCTGGATATGTCAATTTTTTGTATTGCTTCAACTTGGTTAAACCTGGAGGAACAAGATGACGATTATGAGTCACTATATTTTTAAATTCAGTCCATGTTCTATCTGTAAGTTTCAAATTACAAAGAGCTTGCAATGACAAATTTGAACCATATAAAATAGCCCTACCATCAGTAGAAGAATTAGATTTAAACCTTTTGACAGCATGTTGCAGTTCTTCCACCTCTCGTTCTCTAAGACTATCTGTTCTTTTACGCTTCATCCTGTTTGTAAGCTTAATAAAAGACTTTCTAGGCTTTGGTGTACAAGATGTATTGACTGCAGATGAATTAGGCACTCTACATGGTACACTATAAATAATAAAAAAATACATTGAAACATATATACATTTTGAAGGTTTTGTGAAACATAGTCAAACTATATGTATATGTGTGTGCAAAATAAAAAGAGGGAGATACATTTATCTATGCATACCTGTTTACATTGGATCTATGAGTACGAAGCAGTAATTCCCCTTCTTTTATTTTACGCTCACCCTGCTTGATGAGTTGATTACCCTGTTTAATCAGATTTTCACCTTTTCTAATTAATAGCAGTTCTTCCTCATGTGTTCTAATCTCTTTTTTAGAATCTTTTTCTTATCTACACACACAAGTATAATATATATATATGTATATATATATATATATATATATATATATATATATATATATATATATATATATATATATATATATATATATATATATATATATATATATATATATATATATAAATATATATATATATATGTATATATATATATATATATATATATATATATATATATATATATATATATATATATATGTATATATATATATATATATATATACATATATATATATATATATATATATATATATATATATATATATTATATATATATATATATATATATATATATACTATAATGCAATATTTATTACTTATTTATAATAAATCAATATAGAATATATTATACTCACAAGAGATATTTGCATTGTTGATTTTGATCCAAAAAATGTTTATATTTAGTAAGAAAGAACTTTTTTCTTTTTCCACACTCATTAAATTTTTTTATTGAGTTAAAAGCCAGACTTTTGAAAATGTTGAAATTCACAGTGCAATCAGTATAAAGTGATAAAAACTTGGACTGCAAAAATTTAGCACATTCAGATACGTTTTTACTCGTGAAAATATGCCTTGGAGGAAAATTATCAGCCAGAAGTTTGCTAAGATTAAAAGTAACCATTTTTAAAAAATTCTAAATCACGATGAGAGCCAAACTGAGGTTATAACTTAAAGACTAGAAAAGAATGTTCCGCCCGCATCCAGTTTCTTCTTGACAAAAACTAACTAACCGGTTTTTAATAAACCACCTCTTTTGAATTGATTTTATAGCATGTTACTACAGAGGTAGCCAGAATATTATTTCACTTATAAAAAGTCAATTTGTTTGAGAAAATTTTAAAAAAATAAAAAACTGGCTACCTCTGTAGTAACATGGTCTAATCGATCAATCTTTACATTCCAAAAGACACCCAAAAACAATGATCCAAACATTTTTTTTTTCTTTTCTTGGTTTTTAATTTACGAAATGTATCATTTATTAGAAAATGTGCAAAAAAAAAAGAAATTTGAAAATTATCTTATGTAATTTAAAGATTTAGTGAGAACATGGGTTTTTTTACCCCTGAAAATCCCGCACCTAAAAAGGCATATTTAGAAAAATTAAAAAAAAACTTTTTTTTCTTAACTAATACTAACTTGTTTCAGTTAAAAAATATTTAAAATATTAAAATTGAAAATTTTTTTATGAAAAGTAAGTAAAATCCTATTTCCGCTTCGCGACGCATAGTGCGGTGATGCGATGACCTTGCAAAGGACTTCACAAAGGACTTGCAAAGGACTTCGCTTTAACTTGAAGTAACCATATTTCTGGAGATCTTTTCCTTGCGCACATATTTTTTCAATATAAATTTTCTTTAGATAAATTTATTTTACAATTGGCACATACATAGTTCAACATATCATTTAGTTTAGAATCAAATCCAAAAAATATATATATATATTTTATATTATTCTTATGTTTTGCCATACCTATAACGACTACAAACTTCGTAAATTAAAGGTGTAATATTAACAAGTCTCGTGAGTCAAAATATATAATGAAATTTATAATTATATAGTACGGGCCGGATTTCAAGAAGATCGTAATGATCTTATCACGAAGCCCTTACGAAGTGATTGATATATATTATGATTATGTTAAATATAATTATATATTAAGTACAAATATATTTTGATAGTCTTTAAATTAAAATATACTCATTAAATTAAAACTTGAATTAAGCTCATAATAAAAGTTAAACAAGATGCAGCAAAACTAGCATTAAAAGACAAACTACTGAAAACTTTTTAGGTGTGAACTTGGATAAAAATTTATCATGGAAAATACATATAAGTTCTATAGAAAAAAAATCTCAAAAAACATTGAAATGATCTATAGAGTTAGGCCAATTTTAAGTTTTAAGTCCTTGAAAAAATTATATTTTTCTTTTATACATAGTTACTTAACTTACGGCAACATCATATGGGCAAGTACTAACCACATATGGGCAAGTACTAACAGAATTCTTATTCAATTCAGGATCGCATACCGCTTTTGTGGAAAAAGATTCCCAAACATTGTTTCCGAAAAGAAAACTTCTCTACATCAGTTCAAAACTGATTCAAAACAGTTTTTATTTAAACACAGATTTTGATTTATTTTATTATAAGTCTTTCTTTTAAAATAGATCAGATATATCAATTATAAATATAAACAAGGTAACTGTTACTTGTAATCATTAAAATAAAAAAGTTAAATACTTATTGACAATAACCATTAACACAAATCACATTTTCTCGCTTATTATTTTTAGTGTGTATATATTTATACTCAAGTATGTGTATATTCGTACTTATTTAAGTGTGTATGCGTATGTGTGTATATGTATATATATATACAAGGCCGGCGCGATAGGGGTGTGTAACACCCGCCCACCAATGACTTTTGGTCGGCAAATTTGACCATTAGTCGGCAAATGTGACCATTTTTGACTAGTTAGTCGGCAAATGTAGACCCTGTTAGTCAGTAAAGTCAGTCGGCAAATGTCGTTATGGCAGTCGGTAATAGTCGTAAAAAAACGAGGACCTTTTTTTTTTATTATTTTTTTACGGAAAAAGTTGCAATAGCACCCTCCCCGCGTGACCCCTATTCGCGCCGGCCCTGTCCAAGGATTCAAAATTTTTTTTAATTATAAAAAAATAATATAAGTTATTGACGTTTTCATAAATAAACAAAAAAGTTACATATTAAAAAAGTTTTTACATACATATTTTTTACAACATAATTTTTTTTGAAAGTAGATAATATTATTTAAAAAAAAAACCGCTTATTACATAAAAATATCCATTCTTTGCAACTATGATCAAATCGTGTATGTAATTGTTTTACGCACGTGAAACTTTCAAATAAATATTTTTGCGGTATAATAATCCTAATGCCTTTAAGACGCAATTACATCGCTCAAAATAGTTTTCGCGTCAATTAAAGAACTACAGCTGTTTATGGAAAATGTAAAAATTTCCATTGGTATAAAAATGTATAAAAAAAGAATAAAATTATTTTTTTGCAAACTGAATAAGGTTGAATGAGTCACTTAACCTTGTTCGCAAACAATATGGTTACTCATTAAGTGATTATTGAAGTTTAGTGAAAATTGAGTGATTCTCCATATTGTTGGTTATCTTTGCTCTAGAATAACTAATATTATTTTTTAAATTATGTTCCCCCCCCTCCTAATATTTTTTCAAATATATAATTTTGTATTTTTTAGAAAAAAGCAAACAACAAATATAAAAGAAAAAA